TTACTTATCTGCACGCAAATCGAGGAAAACGTGAATTGATTGACGTTTACGTGTTTCCAAATTTAAAATCACAGCATATTCAAACTTTTCAGTGTACCTTTTAACATCTAAATATAACTAAAACGATAAAAACTTACCTTCAACACGAGGACGACGACAACCACGCGACCGGAGACGTCGCGACGAAATAAACAAACGGCGCCGCCAAATGAAAAATATTCTCCGATATGAGTAATGTGAAATTGAGTCGCAATCATTTTCGGTAGTATGAAAAATGCTCTTTCCAACAGAACCCTAGTAAAAAACGTGAATGGACAAAAAATAACTTTTATTTCGACATAAATATTGGCCTGTTTTTAAGTCATTCTGGTATGCCGTAAGATTTCGACCTATAAATTGGTGTTCCCCCAATCATTGAAGCTTGAGCAGTGAAAAATATGAAAGCCTAATCTGTTTTGCATCATTAGTGATTCTCCTAGGGTGTTGCCATTTCTCCCTAGGTGTTGCGAGTTGCTTTTGCAAAACGTGTTCCTGAAACGGCTCAATTTTTTGAGCCCTCAACATTACGCCTATGGGAGCCTCTGACGTCACACGCTCAATATTTTGAGCGCTCAATAATTTGAGCTTTTCCCCCTTGTGCGTGGGACTGATATATAGCTCGAGTATCAGAGGATGCGTTCAAACATCAAATCCGCTGTAGCGCACGTACGTACCTGAAGACCAAACAATCGGATCGCGTTCCGTTGCCTATTGACATTTGTTTCAGCTGATGTCGAGCACAGAATTTTAAAGCTTTGTAGGTACTTTACTCAATGTCCTTTCTGGCCTCCGGGAACGCAGCGGAGTGCACTCTTTATAATGGAAGGAGCCGTCGGTGACTGGGAGAGGCAGCAGCGGGGACTACCGCAGCCAGTTTTCTCTGTGTACAGAGACGAGAGACGGTGTACGGAGACGAGAGACGATGTACAGAGACGACAGAAGGCGTGCAGAGACAAGAGACGGAGACTGTGTCGGTGGAAACGTAGCCTTTTAATAGATCAATGAAGCGAATGTCACGGTTAATATTTAAACAAGTAAAAAGGGCGCTGTTGTACGGCGGCAGGTCGACTCGCATTGACATCTGGCGTGAACTAAATAAGTGTTTCGTCGCAGCGCCCTTCAGAGCGGCTTTTCGGAGCTCTGACTGCTCCGTATGACGCGATGCCATTCACTTCAATAGGATCCCGCCTGGCAAAAAGAAATGCAACGATCAAGCTCAGTGCCTTGTCGGATGCTGCGTTTCTCATTAGTTTCTCGAAAAGACACATGCTATATAGGAGCAGAACATCTCTGTAAATAGACGCCTACCGGATATCCGTTTTTGAACGTCACGTGTCGTTTTACAAGGTCGAACGAGCAAATAAATATCTTATACGAGATATAGGAGGGCATAGGTGGTCTGAAACCATGTATTGTTTAGTCTCGAATAGTTATGTTTTGTTGAAGGTAATGTTTTGGTCGAATGCACTATTCGGTACGCTTATAAAATAATATATGCCTAAACTTTATTCGCGAGACTTTGGACAATGGTCTGCTATGGGAATAGCAATGCGGCGTAAACTACATATTTCCGAGGGAACACGATGACATTTGTTTTCTTAACAAGCATAACAACCATTTATTACGTTATTTGATTCTTAAATACACAGCGCGCGCAGACCACACACAAGCGAGCGCAGCGCCCGGGTTCCCCCGAGTGTTTGTTTGATCACGGCGTCAATGTGTTAGCCTGTCGTTATCACGGTCGGCTGCCGGGGCGGGATGGGGCGGGTGGGGGGGGGGAGGGGCGGTAATGCCCCGGGGCGGCGGCGGTTGGAGCGGCGCCGGTAATGGGTGCCGGCGATCTCTGACGAGCCCCTGCCGTCCGGACCGGGTCCGACAGACCGGCTGGGGCCGAGGGCCGACCGGACGGCGACACACACAGCGGGAAATGGCAACCGCGGCGCCTGCCTGGACACTGGCCAATGCAAATAACCTGTGAATATTTATAAACGGAAATCAGCATGATTGGCTGGGCCGGACGCTACGATTGATAATAATAACACTGGAGAAGGTCGCTACCGTATTTTGATAACCTCATGCTTTGTCACTAGAAAAGCGATTATGAAAAGAGCAAAAAGCTGCATGTTCTTGAGATGTTGCCAACTTCTCCGGTGTGAAATTAAACACGTAGCAGTTTTCTGTTTGTAGGTTTTTATTTTTAGTTTCAGTATTGCTAATTTTTATGACATTTTTTCAGTTACTAAACTTTCAGAAAACAAATAATCAGTAACAGGACAGTCAACAGTTTATACCTAGTTGAATCACCCTTTAGTAACCGCACCTATCGGTTTTCTACATACCGGGGGGGAGGGGGAGAGGGAGAAAGCTTGGTGGAACACTCCTCGCCGCTTCGCCCCTAATTGCTAATAGATGGCTAGTATTTGGGAGGTTACTACGTCTCGTAAGTTTCATCTCCCTGCGGCCTGCGGAAGATTTCCTGGCACTGATGGCGTTGCGACATTTCGACATTTTAGGATCGTGGTGAGGTTCACTTAGGTATGACACAAGTCTGACCACCTGAGCTGACCTGAAAATGCGGTTTGTGTTACGAGATCCATCTTGAATCAAAGGCCAGGAAAGATAACTTTCAAGTCTCTGTCGCCAGCGCGTTTCGAGAAATCGCAAAACACCGACTGTCAACTCCCCTCGGTCAAGGAGCATTGACGAAGCTCATTTGTCTTATTTAATTTGTAGCTTCATACCAGATGGAAATGAAAATTTGGTTTTATAATTGATCATTTGGATATTTTGTTTCCTATTTTGGCAACATGCAACATAAACATCAACTCATTTTTGCTACTATTTTATCATCATTGAAAGATGAAGAGTTGCCACTCGTTTCAACATTATACACTATACAGTACCTACCTAATTAACCCGCGCCGTGCTGGTGGCCTGAACTTTCCGCCGAGTGCTGGGGGGGGGCGTTTTCACGCCCCCCCCGTCTAACTCGGCTCCTGGGCCACGTAGCGACACGCGGTAAGCGGCAATCGAAAGAGCGTCAAAAATAAGGACGAAAACACTTCGGTCATTTTTTGGGTCAGGTCAAAGGTCAGGTCACCAGAGGTCACCAAAGGTAAAATGTTGACTATTTCAACATTTTGGAAACTGCCAACGGCTATCTCGGGAACCGATAGAGCTACAGCGCCGCGGAAAAGCGCATTCGATAGCCCTTTTACAGACCTTTCTGAGTAATGTCCTCAGATTTGACCTCAGGTCAACGGTTTAGCCTCCAGAGGGCAAAAACTCCAAAAATAGCCGTTTTTACGAAAAACGTTTTTTCGTCAATAACTTTTGACTCATAAGCGCCATGACATTACTTTTGCCAGCATCGTGTTTCTCTCGTCGAGACGCGTCGAATGAACTATTCGTTGACCTTGAAAGGTCATTTTGAAAATTTGACCTCAGGTCAAGGTCATGACCTGACCGAAAAGGGTCATGTTGCATATCAGTCGATCCGTATCGTCGAGCTGAACACATCTGACGTGTTTTCACCGCTCTAGCACGTCTCTATCAAAAGTTATAGCCAAAAAACTGCTGGCGACCGTTCATGACCTGAGATGACCTCAGGGGCACACAGAGGGGTCACAGGTGCATTTTTCCTATTCAGTGTGTCATGTTTACCTATGAACCGATGTTTGAGAGCGTTTTGAACGATATTCGTCCAAAAGAGGCGCATTTCAATTTTCTCCCATTGACTTATAATGGAGAGGTCGCAAAATTGACCTGACCTTAGGTCACAGATATCAAAAATCCGAGATATACATTTTATACATACTGTTACTCATATCAATCGCTGAAAGTTTCAAAGTGATCGTTCAGTCGGTGTAGCTATAGCGAGCCTTTGAACTTTTTCTGAGGTAAGGTCACTTGACGTGACCTGGTGACCTGACCTTGAACGACCTAGGTCTGAAATTTTCACAACATGTGCGGAAATGATGTAGGAACACGTGTACCAAAAACGGCGGCGCTGCGCGCCGCCGTTTTTGAGATATTTGCGAAAAACCTGAGGGGGGGCGTAAAAACGCCCCCCCCCCAGCACGGCGCGGGTTAAGGTAGGTACTTAAACATTTGAAACCATAATTGCAGCATTCGCGAAAATTTAGTCATGCAACATAACCGTAATATGCTGACATATCTTGCGGGTTATTCATTTGGTGTAAATCACTTCCGACAATTGAACACAAATGTTCAGCCAGCTTTATTTGATGTTTGCTGTTCGCCTGCGTGGCTTGAGCAAACTCATAAGTTTCCTGGCGCTGTTTTGATGTATTTTGTTCGGTGTCCTGACATTGCGCTGGCACCAGATATGATTTGGTTACGGTATCAAACATCTAATACGTGCGCGTTGTAATTGGATCCGCATTAGTACCCATGTTGTTGATCTCGTGAAATTTAATCTTACTGTGCACTGTGCGTTGTACAGGCATTACTATCAATAAGATTGATTATACTAAAGTCTATTCTGAAGAAATGTACAAAATAAAAGTATCATAATGTTTCATCTCACGCCACACGCTATAGCCAGCTCAGTTCTACGATCTCGTGTTTCGTGGCCGGTCGCGGCCATGTTGTCGACTCGTCTAGTTGTATCCTGTTTTCCATTTTGCGTCGCCTCCCCGTGTGCTGTCTCCGGCCGGCCGTTCCCTAGTTTGGCAGCCCGGGTCACTGTTTTTGCCGCTCCCCTGTGTCTCTGTGTGTTTTGACTGCAGTGGCTGGATTGGACTTGTGCTGACTCCTGTCGTTCGTTCGCTTCTCTGTCTATCCATCTGTTCGTTCATCTGTTCGTCGAGTTGCTGACTGGTTTTGTTTTTACACCGCTCCCATTCGTTGTACTTTTGCTCTTCTAGTTTGTTCACAACGTCAACAATAAATGGGTTGAGCTAACCCTGCGGTTTCTGTCCTCTGTCTGTCCACAGCCCAGTCAGATTGGCGGCAGCGCTCCTCCCGACCCCGAGGCCACCTACCAGCTCTATGATCGGGTAATCAACGTGCGTGAGGGCTTCAGCGTGCCACTCGGCGCCAAGGGAACCGTCATCGGTGAGTGGCGGCGGCGGCGGTGGGGAGGGGGGAGGGTGACGGGCGCTCCGGCGGGAACGGGGGGGGGGGGTGCTCCGTACCGGCGATTTTCGGGCCTTCTGGGGATGGTTTGGTGTCGCAGTTTCGTGGTGGCTTAGCGGAGTCTGGCACTGTTTTTAAGTACAAGACTTGATTCTTTTCTTGTTTGACGACGTGTGAGAATGGTGCGAACAAGGACTCCTACTTGCATTTGATATCCGCTCAGCGTGAACAAGTAATCTGTCATTAGACGGTTGTCGGTGCATTGGATCGGTCCACTGGCTGAGCCCAGTGATCGTGCCGTGGACCTGACCGTAGTGATCGGTTGGTGGTATCTATACGAGGGGCGTTCAAAAAGTTCTCGGCCCGACCATGAAGGAGCAGAGATACGATGTCGACTTATTAGACCAAAAATGTTCATTTAGTCAAATAACCAACGTTAAGACAAAAACATTTCGCGCAGCGCTTCGTGAGAGGCCCCTGGGCCTCCATAGCCAAGTGGGGTTTGGACGCATCTGGCACGTCCAAGACGGCTGCTTTTGTCTCCTTGCTGTCAGCGAAGTTGCCACTGCTAAGCAATTTCCTTATGTTGCTGAAGAGGTGGCAACGCAAGGTACGGAGAAAAAAGTGGCTGTGACAACAACTCGAGGCCAGAGCTCACTGCTTCGCTGATCGTCACCCTGCTCACGTGTGCTGGTGCGTGGTCCTGGATCAGGCGCACACTTTTAGTCAGCTTCCCTAGTCTCTCCTTGATAGCTGCTGCTCGCTACTGTTATCGAAGGAAGGTGTAGTATTCATCATTAATTGTGCGCCCCTGTTTTAGAAAGTTGACGAGCAGAGCCCCGCCAGGCTCCCAAAATGCAACCACTGTCACCCTGCCGTCTGACTTAAACACGTCGCACACATTTGGTGGCCTTTTCTCAGTGTGCTTCCACTTGTGCAACTCGGTCGCGCCCTTAGGGTCAACGTGTGACACCCACAATCCCTCCACGGTAACAAGTAGTTCAATGAACTCTTTTGGATCTTCGATATAGGGACCAAAATTTTCGCGTTACGCCTCCTTTCGAGTTTGCCTTTCCTCTGGAGTCAGCAAACGGGGGATGCATCTTGCAAAGATCTTAAACATATTAATACGCTGTCGAAGAATGGTTTTGAGGAACCTTATAGACACCTCCGCTTCTGCTGCGTTGTTCCAGACCAGAACATTTGTCATTTTTCACAAAGAAGTGCCTATTTTTTATATTTTCTTGAGTCAATGCTGTTGAGGGCTGGCCACTGCGGGGGTGACCATTAATGATCTGTTGACCAAAATTGAACAGAGATGCCCACTTTTTGACGCTACTGTAAGAAAGACAGACCTCAACATGTGTTGGCACTGGCTTTTCGTGAATAACATTTAGTGCATTTTTCTGCAATGCATGAACCAAATCACTGTTCTCTTCTGGGCGTCGCCCATTCTGACCGGGAATGGCAAACTATGTTACGATTAATTAGCAGCCTGAACCAATCACAGGGCATTGGTTAATGGCTACGTAAGTGGACATCCCAATAACACATCATTGAACACACCGCGTTGCAGGCCGAAATTCCAACTCCTTCATGTTTGGGCCGGGAACTTTTTGAACGCCCCTCGTATGCACCGTCTGTCACGCGGCTCGTCCGTCTGCGATATAACGACCGCCGGCGACGTATACGGATGTGAGGATCCCTGCGCGTCTCTCGGCTAACGGTACCGTCTCGGAGACGCACTCCTGTCGCGCGTCGAGCAAACATCAATCCGGGCGGTCATTAGCGGACGATAGAGGAGTCCGCCGCGAGGGATGACCCTCCGCGGAGCGGGCCGGCCGCGCGGGGTGGGTCTCGGAGGGGTTCAGGGGGAGGGGGTGGCACGGGAGGGGTTCAGGAGGGATGAGGCTAGAGTGGGGGACTGCGGAAGGGCTGGTTCGGGGGGGGGGGCATTGGCCATTCCTGATATGTTCCAGGCACTGTCACAGTTGACCATCGGTCATCGGTGACCCATTAGCATCTGAATCTGTGCTATGGAAGCATAGTAATATATTTCTATGGAATTACCTCGCGGAACCGCCGCTGAGGGGCATCCAGCGTTAGTGACGCATTTAGTTGTCATGGTTACCGGTCAGTGAGTATTCATCAACAAAGGGCTGAACACGGAATCACCACCATGTTCTAATATCTAACGACAATGCGATTAAATGAGGCGATTCAATTAAGCTAGTAGCCACTAATCAATGGATAGAGGTGGAATTATCATCGAAGGGGACGTGTAACCTGAACACGGTTTGACATTAGCCTGAATGGGGGATCACCGAACGCAGCAGTATGCACCAATTAGCGGCTTTGCTAGGCGCGAATGGAACCAGAGCTGGACAATCAGCTTGATCGGAGTGGAAATCACGGTAATCGCCGCTGAATCACGGGTATCACTGTTTATTTGTTTATTATCACCAAGACACCCACAGGCACAAAGAGCCCACTTACGGATGCAGTCACATAACTAAAAAGAAAATCGACAAAATGCACGAACACATGCATAAAACTGAAAACAGAGGCTGTAGTGTAGGTATTCAATCAGCCAATGTAGCTGCCCAGAGTACGGGCGTACGTCAAAGCCTCACTCCGAAATGATGCAGACGGGTGGTAAAAGTCTACGGAGGGACTATGCGTCAGGAATTCGTTGCACACAAGAGGGATGCGCGCGGTCAAGCTGTTCTTAACAGTGCTCACTCTCCCGAATGGAATGTGAAAAAGGCCGGTGCGACGGTTGCGCCTCCCCGGTACACTCAAACCAAACATGTAGACCAGGTGAGCACTGTCAATGCGATGGTGAAGCACACTGTACAATAACATGATATCGGCATGAACGAGGCGAGCTTTAATGGAATCAGTGTTAAAATGCTGCAGTAAGGCACGATAGTCTAGAGAGGGACAGCGTCTCTGGGTCTTCGCCGCTAGCCACATAAGGAAGCGGTGCTGTAGCCGTTCCAATCGTGCAAGATGGGTTACGGCGGCCCCACTCCAAACCACGCTACCGTACTGGAGGACGGACCTGACATGCGCGTTAAAAACGCTCAACATCGCTTTGTACTCGAAGCGTGCCGCACGAGGACAGTCCGGCATCTGCATGCTCCTCATGAGAAGCCCAAGCATCCGATTAGCCTTTGACATGGTGTAATCGACATGATGACAAAACGTGAGCTTGGAGTCTAATATTACGCCTAGATCACGGATCTGACTACACCTGTCAAGCGAATGGCCATCCAAGTTGTACACAGCGTCAACAGGTGACGTACGAAGGGTAAAAGAAATGAATTTGCACTTAGATGGGTTAAGACGAAGTCTCCACGTGTTCGACCAGAGGTGGAGGCGGTCAAGGTCAGCCTGCAGGGAAAGGACATCGGCGGGACTGCTGATGCGGTGGTAAGGCTTGAGATCATCAGCATAAGCAATGCAGTTGGTCTCAATGTGGTGAGGTAGGTATATCGGCCACATAGCACGCAAACAGTAAGGGGCCCAGGATGCTGCCCTCTGGGACGCCCGACTGGACAGGAATCCACTGTGAGCGTTTCCCATTGAGGACTACTCGCTGTGTCCGGTTCCTGAGATAGGAGCAGAGCCAGTCATAGGCGACACCAGATATGCCAAAGGAGTGATGCAGCTTGTGCAAGAGTAGGGTGTGGTTCACGCTTGTGAAAGCTGAAGAGTAGTCAGTATAGACTGCGTCAGTCTGCTTCCTCTCGCAATCGAGGACCAGCAGTGATCAAGGAAACAGGATAGGTTGGAGACGCAGGATCGGTTTGGAAGGAAGCCGTGTTGGGAGGATGGCAGGGCAGGTAAGCAGGCGGGTAACAAGCTCTCCGAAACCACCTTTTCCAAAACCTTTCCACAGATCGGTAACAGCGACACAGGCCTATAGTTGTCGGGACTCTTTCTGGAGCCCTTCTTATAGACGGGATTCTCTTATTACTGCCTGAAAGCAGGTACTGATCAGTCTCATAACTCCCCACCGTGGAGCTGTGGTTAGATTTTTAACTCTTGCCCTTGCCAGTTACCAGCGGGTCAAATCAATATTGTGGCGTTCCTGCTCTGTGATCTCTGGTCATGTTTTTTTCTTTTTGCTTGTAGTGAAGTGAAAACCTTCATATGATCCGAGACGATGGTAAGGCTCCGGTTGTAAATGCATTGGCCGTTTTGCGCTGCCGCGAGGACACACCGTCGCCATCCATTGGCCCGCCTGTGACCATCCATTGGCCCGCCTGTGACCATCCATTGGCCCGCCTGTGACCATCCATTGGCCCGCCTGTAACCATCCATTGGCCCGCCTGTGACCATCCATTGGCCCGCCTGTGACCATCCATTGGCCCGCCTGTGACCATCCATTGGCCCGCCTGTGACCATCCATTGGCCCGCCTGTGACCATCCATTGGCCCGCCTGTGACCATCCATTGACCCGCCTGTGACCATCCTGACCCCTTACAGGCTCCGTGGATATTGGATAGCCATGGGCCATGGCCCATGTGGTGTGCGAAAGTACACAGATTTCGGTTGGTATCAGACCTGAGTAGTACTAAGAAGACTATACTCCAAAATCAAAATGCATTAATGAAATCTCACCACTTTTTCTCGCATAATATATTCCTACTGGTGCTATAATAAAACTAAAATGTCCCCTGAGACTTAGCTCTATAGGTGGGATATTTTCTTCACACATGATAAGCTATCGATTTGGGAGTCGGGTCGTTCAGAGGCCATTGGGCCGGTCGGCTGCGGACCGCGCAGTGGGCCGGCAGCGTATAGTCCACTGCGGCCTCTGTCCGCGCACTATGGAGTATGGACGGCCGGCGGGCGCTGCGGCGCGGAAAATCGCCTCCCGCCGGCCACAATCGGCCGATAGGGAGCCGGTGGCCCGACGGCGTCGCCACCGGCCGCCGGGATAAAATACAGCCCCCGCTGAAATACAGCCTGCCACGCCGACCGGTCATCGAAGCGCAATTCATTGCCGCTGCGCCGAATTTATCGGTTCGGGGGGATGGGAGGGGCGCCAACGAGCTCCTTCGGCCGCCCGGCTGAAAAGCGTAATTATCGTTTTACTGTTGCGATGCGGGTTGAGATGGTATTGGTCTCTTATCATTTTGTCACAGCGCCAGCATTGAAAATGCCGGAGTTTTTATGTTCTTTTCATCATATAAAACCGCTGACACAGAATGTAATGCTCGCGTTTTTATTGAAACGCGCTACTAAGTAATTGGAACCGTAGCTGAATTCAGTGCCAATAAAATTCTAAAGGAGCATGAGCCCTGGTTTATGCATGCCATTCATTTGGCGGTATCACGTATTTCAACTGCCCGGCGCGGAATAGATGGTGGTTCATTATTTATTGTCCAATAATGACTCTGTTGGGAGTGTATGGGCTGGCGGGGGCACGGAGCCAGTGCCTCGATCGTTTAAGGCCGATAGATGTCGGCGTCTGGCCTGGGCTCCATCGGTCAGCGTCAGTTGGCGGCCGGTCGGTCAGTTGGCCGGCCAGTAACAGCGGCAGACAGCCCGGGCTCCGCACGGCGCGCAGCAGCTCAGCGGCACCCACATGATGTGGTGGGCGAGCTTTGTGGCGGGTTTCGTCGGGTTTTACCTGCCGGCGCAGCCATTGATTCAATGGAGTTTTAATGCTGATGAAATGCTGTCATAAAGTTGATGCACTTCTATATTCGATTGGTGGTATTTAGTGACCATGCCACACACAAAGAACCACCCAGATTATAAACACACTTTTTCCTGATGCCGGTAACATCCACAATAGCTAGGCACACACCTCGATGGGTGTTTCCGCACCCTCGCCATTATGTCCACTGTGTGTGTTTGCGTGTTTGTGTTTGCGTTACAAGTGTGTGCGGCGTGCTCCGTCCCGGGACGATGGTCACCTCTGGATCGATGCCGGTACGGCGCCTGTCCCACTGGGAGCCGGCCATTCTGGGGGGTCCCCGGGGGACGGCGGGCCCTCTGAGCTGCCCGTTGTGGGCTCATATGCGGCCGCGGGCACTCGGCTTATGTAGGATGGCAGCGGTGGAAGCACGCCGAGGGGGCGCGGTGCGCTCAGACTCGCTGTGACGTATGAACGCGGCGTGGTAATAAGTCCCGCAGCGCAGCGTGCCACGGAGGCCACAGGAGACATTGTAGTGTGCCATGTGTATCACCTGTGTCATCTCATGTCTGCGTGTATCGAGTTTTCCCCCGCGGGAGCTATGCGTGTGGTAAGCACCGATATCTGTCTCTGGCGGCAGGTATTCGCAAGACTGTCGAGCCAGTGACAACTCCCCCGGTCCTTACGACAAGGTTATGCGAGACTGCTGAGTGCTGAGCCTGTGACACTTTCTTCTCTCCGACGGCAGGTTTCCGCGGACTGCTGAGCCGAAAGACGCTGGATGCTGTGTCTATGACATCCTTACTCTGATGGCAGGTATCCGCGAGGCGGCCGAGCCGGCGGACGTGCTGTACGAGGTGCTGTATCTGTGACACCCCTCCCCTCTCTGACACCAGGTATCCGCGAGGCGGCCGAGCCGGCGGACGTGCTGTACGAGGTGCTGTACGACGAGCCGTTCGAGGGAGGTCTGGCACTGCGCTGCTCAGCCGGCCGCGGCTACAAGATGCCGCCCTTCAGCCTGATGAACATCAGCCACGGCCTGCGACTCAAGTTCGGGCAGACGGGCCAGACGGTGGCCGCTGCCGCCGCCGGAGCGGGTGAGGACAAATGGACGACGGGTCACTGACAGAGGCTGATCAGTCCGTTAACGGGGAGGGGGAGGGGAACTGCTCGACGCATCAGATATGCACTTATAAGTGGTGCTTAGTAGTCTACTGTCCACGTAGGAAGTCATATGAGTGTTTTCCACTGTGCCTTGCGATTAGTCACCTGTCGTTGCTTAACACGAAAACAGTTTTTTTTCAAACTGAGCGCGGTAAAGTTGTGCGTTGAAGTATGAAGTCATGAAGTCTATCCCCCGCACAAATCATCATATGCCACATATAGCAAACAGGCCGAACACCGTGTTAATGGCCACATCTCTCATTCATTGCAGTCTGTCTGAGCTTATTTTGGCGGACAGTAAATACGATAAATCACAATTACCGATGTAGCTAATTAAGTCGGGTAATAGCTATGTACTAGGGTGACCCGCGTGCTCCGCAACGCGAAAAGGGATATTTTCGATCGGCGGGTGTTCGGTTGTTCTTGTGTCGGTTGGGTTATCTATCCATTTCGGTCGATTGCTTTTTGACGGCTAAACGTTTTGGTTTGTGGAAAAAGTATCCACCGCATCGAGGTGCCCGTGTCTGATAAGCATGCTTTCCACTTCAGAATCTGTCAAATGTGCTTTATAATTTAGGCGCGTAGTTTTATGACAAATTAAAGGCGTAGATAATATTCACTAAAAATCGTTTTGCAGAGGTTTGAAACATTTATATTTTTAAGAATACTGTTGCTTGTCATGCAAACGTGATGATTGGATCTTGGAGAGAATTGAATGCTCTTTCCAATGATAGCATTTTCAATCGTCAAACGTATCAGGTTAAGCAGCAAAATCCGTGTAATTATTTAGTGGCACATTTTGGACAAATACCATTTCATTCAGCGATTTTTTCCACATTGTTTTTGATCAATTAGCTTTTCACAATTTTTCCATGAGAGACGGTACATTTTTATTGCTAATAGGCGCTGTTTCAGCTCATTCCGTCTGACGATCACCTGAAATTAATATAAATTCCAAAATCCGTCCAAAACGTCCATTTTTCAAAAGAAAGTGTCCTCCCCGGTGCACGTGGCGCGTGCCAACCCCTGCACCGCACACCACTCGATAGCCCGTTCGATTCTCTACACGATGCTGTTTTCCCCGTACCGGTCGGGCCCACGGTTACCGAGATATTGCACCGGGACCGGACCCGTGTCGGGCAAATTTACCCATTTTCTCCCGTTTTTGCAAGCCGATTTATACATGTAAAGTCTATGACGCGAATTTGCATTTTTTGGGCCCGCGCCACGCGCTCGCTATCGACCCGATCGAGCCGAGACCGCTCAAAGGCACGTTGTCCATCCTTGTTCTATGAGTTGCGCAAACTTCAGCGCGGTAGGTGCAACGGTGTGATCTGTAACCCGCGCTACGTAGCACCATGTCGCGACCTCGGTTACAGACAGAAACTACGTCACCTCAAATAGTAATATAGATGCCGTATTTATTGCTGTTGACTGCGTGTGATTGAGGCTATGTGTTGGCCTTGTTTGTAATTGCACAGCCTGGAAAGCGAGACTGTTGCAAGCGCACTGGAGCAACTGCGTGATGGGGCTCATTACCTGCCTCATACGCGTAACATTGTTTATCTAATTTCAACGCGTCTCTGACTTGTTTGTATGCATCAACTACTGCTTGCCCACGCATGACGCAGTTGTATTAGTAAAGTGCCAGCTTTGACGTTCGAATGATGAGGGCTGCGGCGGCTGGGTGTTCGTTTTCTCACTCGACGGTCCTCCTAGGAGGGGCGCTCTTCAACAACCTCCGTGGGCTATTTTTGACCGAGTCCACGTCCTCAATTAAACGCGTCCTTTGATAATCCCTTGAGCAAGGCAAAAGGTCGCACGGAGAGTGGCCAGCAGGAGAGCTGCTCCGCCACTGCGCTCTTCTCCCAGGCCAGACTAGAATATCCGGTTTTCGGCCACTGTAAGCCTCTGCGTTATCATGGCGAAGCAGCCACGGGTTCACATCCCGAGTCTCTCTCCTCTTGTCGCGCACCGAGCGAGCCATATTCACAGAAACTTTTACAGATGAGCCGGGTGATCTTCGCATCTCACGGAGAGAAGGGAACGGTGTCTCTCATACCCAGCAGAATTTCAATCAGCATTTCCTGTTTGTGGCTTTCGACTTTGCTATTTCCTGCGGCCTTAGTAAATGCTAGGGAAATCCGACTATTATTTAATGCTGTGGAGCTTAACTGCTGCAATATTTGCCATTCAAGTGACGGTGGCATTGCCTCATATCCTAGCACTTCGAAGCAGGTTCATTATGTACGTACCCTTGGAAAGCTCTTACACACCTTGTTTTGGTATTTCGGTCCAGTTCGATGCTCAAATTCAATGTGCTGCCATAACTATTGTTTACACGTTTCCCAATGGCAAGGCATTTTACGTTCTCTTTCATAATTTATTGCCCTTCTTTAAATGGGAATACTATTTTGCCAGATGTTTCAAATCCATTTCGCTCAGCATAGTGCAGTAAATATCACTGTAAAGCCAGCTAATACTGTAAGCCTGTACCGTATAAATTACCATGCAGACTCGCATCAAGTTAACCTCACACTGGCTGGTTTGACCGGATAACAATAGAGGCCGGTGTCGGAACAAGTTTGCGCTGTACCGATCGGCTGTCCCCACTGTGTACGCGCGCCATCCAGCCGCCATCGTCACCGCCCCAGTGACGTACGACTGCGAGGCTGGCCCGACTGTCAATTACTTTAACTGGCTGTCAGCCCGGGCCGCGCCTGTCGCCGACTGTTCGGACAGTGAGGAATGGTACTGGCGACACTGGCCGGTGGAGACCGACTGGCCTGGCCCGCCTGACTGAGACAGTCGGCCACCGCTCGGCCGCGATACCGTGTAATGCGTGCGGGTGCGGGTGCGGGCGCTCCGTCCAGCCCGGCAACAACCTTCGGCCGGCTGGGTTTATTTATGGCTCGACCTTGTATGAGCTACCTTCATGTGGTCCGGTCCGTATGATCCGTCATTCTGTGACCCGACCCCTCACGGTCCCCGTGTGACCTGACCCCGCTCTGCCCGCCCTGTCCACAGGCCGGGCGACCAACGGCGCCGCGTCAGCGTCCGGAGGTCTGGCGCAGTTCTCTCACTCCCCGGGCTCACCGTTTGCCGAGACGCACCGCTCACCTACCACGGTAAGAGACGCACTGCTAACCGACCACGGTAAGAACCGCACTGCTAACCGACCACGGTAAGAACTGCACTGCTAACCAACCACGGTAAGAAACGCACCGCTCTCACAGACCACGGTAAGAAACGCACTGCTAACCGACCACGGTAAGAACCGCACCGCTCACCGACCACGGTAAGACCCGTAAGACCTGCACTACTCACAAGACACGGTAAAAACCGCGCTTCTCACACACCACGGTAAGGACGGCACCGCTCACCGACCACGGTAAGAAACGCACCGCTCTCACAGACCATGGTAAGAATCGCACTGCTAACCGACCACGGTAAGAACCGCGCTACTCACAGACCACGGTAAGAACCGCGCCGCTCTCACCCACCACGGTGAGAAACGCGTCGCTCACCCACCACCCTAGGAGCTTCGGGCCGCTCACCGACCACGGTAAGAACCGCGCTACTCACAGACGTCGGTAGGAACGCCGTACCACTCGGTTAACTACGCTGGGAGCGCCGGACCGCTCACAAACCTCGCTAGGAGCGTCCGGCGCGCGGCCAGTTGGCCGTAGAAGCCGGCAGGGCCGGTGGCGGGCGCAGTCACCGCCGGTATTGGATGGGCCCGGCCGAGAAACGGTGACAGTGCCGGCCACCGGCTGGGCAGGGCAGACGGTCCGCGGCACGGCAGGCGCCTCCGCCGCACTGTCATATTGGGGGAGGTGTCTGCGGTTCAGGGCCCTGAGATGGCATACCTCGGTAGGTCGGCCGGGTTGATTTGGCCGTGACACGGTCAGCTGTGCTACCATAGAACTCGGGGAAGGGAAGGGAAAGAGGCCATTTCCATAAGTTGACTGTGTGATCGAAAGTAGGTATTAGTCACGCATTTGTTTCTTAGAGCGCGTTTATTATGTTTACAGAGGTATGCGAATTTTCAGACCCTGCCTGTCATATTTTTAGTGTGACCTGGCTTATACTACAGGGGATGACCTTGTGATATAATGGAGTTTTTATTATGTTTTGGCATGTTTTAATTGACACTTCACTTCATCCAACGGCTCTTGAACCTCATACCTTGTGCCTCGTATCCCGTACATCATCACAACAGTTCTGTTGGAGGATAAACGTGAAGCATCATTGGGCATCAAGCAAGCATCAGCTAATATTTTACATGCTGTTCTGTGGACATAAAAAAAATCAACTTAAGGTGTTTTACCATGTTGTAAATACGGTGCATACTGCACATGTTTGTAGGAGCTGAGTGAGAGCTCCCTTCTGTTCTGAGGGAGCTCGAGTTGGGCATAGTAATAGAAGCATGTACATTGTATAAGTACTAGAGCAGAATGTATAAGGAAATGTGTTTTTGTGTGGTTCCAAACTGATGACAAAGCTAGCAGTCATACGCACATATACTTATTCAGACGTTACATAGACCTCTACACACCTATGTAGAGGTAAATAGACGTCTAAGGTCGTTGTTTCCGTTAACTTCCTTATTCCTGCCCACCTGTTGCTCTGCTGCGACTTGTAATTGGTCTATATAATCATAATGGATCTATTTTAGTCTCTATTAATGCTTAATTAAGTTGGCTTCAGCATAATTACCTGCCTCCTGCTACACATTCGCTATTAGTTTTTGTCATGCCGCATGTGCTTCTAATTGGTATCCACTTTTGGGATCGTTTTTCTCGCGCGAGTCAAGTGATGCTTTGATATGAAATTGACCCTGCCCTAGCAACCTGAGCTCATTATCGAGCTTATCAGGGTATTGCGCCAAATGTGGGTGGTGCACTCGGCGGGGCGAGCAAATTCGCTCGAAAAGGCAAACACTCGCTTTTATCATTGGCTATTTCAGCGAGGCGCTGTGATGGCAGCGTTAGGTATAACTAATAATAATTGTGTGCTGCCGGAAAGGCGAGAAGAAAAACTAACTCTGAATATTCCGGGCGTTGGTGTGCGTTATCGTTGCTTTATTTTCCCTACACGGATGCATTCTGAATCTGATGTAGCTGAAAGTGATAGTTCGCTAGTATTTGAGTTCAATATGACATCCGTGAACAATAATAGCACCGCCGCAGTCGACTGTTTTGCCCGGCTTGGCTGTACTATTCTGTGATCAATTTTAAAGCCTTCGCCTGACACGATATAACTTGGGACGTGGCGTACGGGATACGGGAACTTATAAATGTGGAGCCAATTGTCAAGTTTCTGCCCCGTTGGCGCGAACTGCCAGACAATTCCACGCATTAGCTGACTGTGTGAAAGCAAAACAAACTACATGTAAACGCATTTCGACTAAAACACTTCATTTGCAAGTAGGTATAAAGCACAGCAAACAAGACACTGTCTTTGATTGCACCGATGCTCCAAGCGGTGATGCCCTAAATATTACACCGATTTTCAACGGCACATCAGCTTTAGAGGTTATGTCACGTATAATTGTACTTTAGGACCATTTATACGATAGAGCTCTCGAGAGGCACCGCGCATTTTTAGCATCATTTTTTTGTTGATAAACTGAGCTGAGCTGTTTTAGGAAAATCGGCTCTTTTGTTCCCATGCTTACCAGTGTGAGGGTCCTGGCCGGGCGCGGGTCCACAATGCCCCGCCGTAACACATTGGTGGATGACGCTATTAGCTCAGCTACAAGAGCGCTGGTCGTTTCCGCCGCCAATCCGGCCGAGCGGCTACAATGCGGGTGTGCGCCGGGGCGTGGTACCGGCCCGTATCCCTTCTGCCGGCCACCGCGGCAGTCGATACTCACTCGCAGGGTGGGCGGCCGCTGCTGTGGGGCCCCGGGAAATGTCCCTACCAACGGGACTTCTGCTCCGGAACGGGTGGGGCGTCTGGGGTTCACCTGCACTTCAAATTAAATGCCTGAAGAAATCTGAAATTGGCTGCGTCATATCGCGGATTGAATTCAATGGCACTTGGAATGCTGTGCAAACACATGTTGCTAGCAAGTCAGATAATTACCCGATAAGTCTATTAGCTTCAAAATGGTTTGTCAAATTGAGAAATCTTCTGCGGTATCGGCTGGATTCTTGTTCGTAAAGTGCGCTGCAAGTTATAAAACGATGCTTCCAGGTTTGTTTTGTTTTGTTCTGTAAAGAGACTATCAAAGAGCCGAAGTGATGGTATAAATTTGATCTGGACGGACATCCTGTTGAGTGGCCGGGGCTGAGGCCGTCACATGGACACTGGACAGTGGACAGTGGACGGTGTACAGTGGACAGGCCACTCAGCCCCGCTAACGGTCACCTGACCGCACTGGTTACATGATGTGACTGGAGCTACTCGCGTCGGACGGGGGGGGGGATGGCCCTGGAGGTAATCGGTGGGATGGGAGAATGCTTCCATGCATGATGCAGATAAGACAATGCCTTCCCCTTAGCATGACATTTAAGCTCCTTCGAGACTCATTAACCTCACTACAAGCTGTATTTTTTGTTGTAATTTTACAATTTACATGAATATTAATTTTACCATGACGGGATTACTGCTATCCTGTTTCACTTGCATGGTGGTATAGGTACACAGCAAACTTAGTTTTCCTTTTCTCAACCGTACTCTCGGATGTTCATCATTTAGGCATATTAGGCGTAGGTATGTGATATTTTACATCTTACGTAAGATCATTTTGGTGTTACCGCCAACTATGTAATCGTTATATCATGCTGTTACGTAACTGGAACATAGTTACATATATATGCGCCGCATGCATCTCATTTTTCATTTAGGGTTATAACTGTTATTTATGCGAGACAGCTCATATTCTCTGTCTGCTTTGGCCGCCGTTATAATGTTTTACAGCTCCGCACACCACCAGTTAGTCGCCCCGTCCCTGCCCCCGCACTCAGCCGAGTTGGGTCGGCAGCACCGCCTCAGTGCGGCGCGTGCTGGCTCTCCGTACTGGCGGAGAGGCCGGCCGCCCAGTACTGCTAAACGGCGACAAATGGACCCGGCATAAAGCGATACATGCATCGTAACACGGTCCCGTGAAATAACATCCCGCGCCATTGCAGGCCTGTAAATAAGCTCAATGTCTACTTACTGCTTGTTTTAGGTCAAGACAGCCTATACTATTAGATGTATAAGCATATGACAATCCAAATTCAATGCAAATTCGTTTCGGTCAACAGAGGTCATCAAAAAGTTGGAGAGCGTTGGAGAGAAGTCATCAAAAATCACGGGCCCCTGGTTTGCACAGTAGATTGTGGCCTACCCACTCGAGGTAGAGTGCTCATTGCGGAACCGCCAAACGACTCGTCCCGACCGGACGTTATTTTTCCATTAGGTATCAATTTCACCTCCAGCAGTTTGGGTCGGACATGGAGCCGACGTGCCTCGTTGCGCGGTATCTGCGCCCTCGCGACCGGCAGCGCCGCAGTAATCAGGCGACCCTTCAGCCGCTTCCAAGTGGCGCAAATGGCCCGCCGGCCGCCCTGTCATCTGGAGCCGGATGGTGGGCCTCTCCAGTGGCACGGGGCGGTCATGAGACCACCGACCGCCAGCCGGCCGGCCAATGCCGCCGAATGAGCCATTCAGGCGTGCCGTCCCAGTCGCCTGCGATGCAGCCGGTTAGAGCCGACCGGCCGACCACGGGCTGAGTTACGAGGCGTGCCGGGATAAAGCGGCGGTGGACGGGACTCGACTGCTCCGAGTCGGATGGGACTGACGCCGGGTCGGGCAGAGACTGGTGGGGCAGAGACTGATCGGACACAGACTGGTTGGCGGGACTGGTGGGACACAGACTTGCCAGACACGAACTGATCGGACATGCAGACTGGTGTTACACAGACTGGTGGGACACAGTGGTGGGACAGACTGACGGGTGTGACAGACTGGTGGGGCAGACTGGTCAGACACAGGATGGTAGGGCACACTGCTCCTACTTAGTGTTGGTTATGCCTCAGACATCGGCAGCATGGATGGCTGATAATTGGAGACGCAATTTAAACGCTACAAAGTTGGGCTAACGCTGCGGCACCGAGCGAGCGATTGTGGCAGCTCG